GGAAAACATTAGTAAAGCATATATTGAAGTACTGGAAATGTGTTTAAATGGCAATTAACTATTATTGAATGTAATCATGTTGTAATATATAGTGATATTGAAATATTGTCCAGCCTTTTGACCACTTCTGTAGTCTGCTTTGATCCCACTTTTGCTCTCAAAACAGCTCTGACCCGTTTTGAACTCTGTCCACCTGGCTTAGCTTTTAGATGCCGATCCTTTACGATTTAATTTGCATGGTACGGCCGGTTTGCTGGTCCAGCACATTTCTCATTTAACATATATATTTATATATATAATATACACATCCTGTATAACAATTACCTTAAACTGATCTAGAGCACTTCTTTAGTATTCTGTTATCTGTTAGAATCTACTTTAGGGTTGTATTTGCAAAACAATTGCAATTTCCAAATCACATAAACATTCATTTTTGTTCACATTGCAATTAGTTAGAGTAAGATGTGCCATTTCTCTATCCAGCCCTTATGGTGGTGGTAATACTCTTCAAGTAGGTTTTCCACCTCGCAGCAAGGAAAAAGGTTGCTTTGAGCAGATCCATGCATGATAGCTACAATGCACTTTACCACCCATCAGTAAAGCCCTGTAACAATAGACTCTAGGAGAGCATTCAAGGCCATGAAAACAATAAAACCCTCGAGACAAACAGGAAAGCTTTGCCGGTTGTCTGGTAATACTTTGGTTTTTATAAAGGTGACTTATCATTAACCTTGGGTTTTGAATTTTTGATTAATAGAAATGTTAGATTTATGTTTATGTTCAACAGCATTCTTTCTTCTTTTATTTTAATTAGACCTTGTATATGAATATTTAAATCTATACTATGTATTTGATGCTTATAGTTACTACAGATGTCATCAGATCCTTAATCTTTATGAGGATGCTGTGCTGCAGCACACCTAACTTAATATAGAGATTAGGAGATGCATGTGAGGCAGTTTAACCATTTGATTCGGCTAAAGGTGCCATGGTAGAACCCAGCTGTTCTTTGATTCCAGATGGAGACCAATGCTTTAGTGGGTGTATAACACATTATGGGCTTTACTCTTCCTGAGCAGAACGGCAAACTGACTAACCAGCAATTATCAGCTTGTTTTATTAGCGTTATTCTTTAAAGGCAAAACTGGACTGCACTAAAGTTGCAATAATCTGTGCAATAAGCATTTGAAAACTATCTTCACAGCCAGAACTTTTTTCTTAATAAAAGTTAAATCTTTTGGAATCTTTACTTTAGATACCATTAGAGTGATAACTGCTCCATCCCTAGCACTCTCTTACCTCTATGATTCACCTTTAGATGGTATAATATAGAATTAATTATAAGTCAAACAGTTTTACAAGATTTAAGTTTAGGTCATCTGTCTGAAATTCCAAACATAGAGGATCTGGGATTTGTCACATGCTAGCAGTATTTCAAACCACCATAAGAATCTGAGCAAATCCAGACCTTGCTTGTCATATACATCCATTAATTAAATATTTTTGGAAAGGAAAACTGTCCTGTAAAGAAATGAAAAAGATTATAAACATTTTTAAGCATTATACAAAATGTCAGGAGTTTCCAATTTGATTTCCTGAGGTTCCCTGCTTGGCTAACCTGCATGTACCTGTTCAAAGAAGTAAAGAGTTTTAAGGGTTTTGTGTCTTGTGTTTTGTTTTATATTTTTGTGGCAAAATGAACTTGCTGGCCAAATTTTTTTTATTGTGACAATCTTGGTGTTCCCTATCTATTTTATGGAGGAAAAAACTCCCCATTTTACAACAGATTTTCCTTTAAGAATCCAAAAGTTTTTGGTTTTATCCTTCAGATTATCACAGCTGAAATATTTCCTGTTCAAACATTCAAATATGTTTAAAACTAAACTTAAATTCTTCTTGATGGATGATTCACATCATATCTTAAAGTATGGCTTTAAAGTTAATTACATTTAATGGCTTGATTTACATTTTGACTAAAAATTATCCCAAAAACAATAGATGATCAAACAATTTTTTATAAAATAATATTCTGGTTGGTATTATGCTTTGCAAAGATGCTCTAATTTTGTAAGGTCTCTTGATTAGTCCCATTTTTTTTTTTTTTTTTTTTTTTTTTTATATACAGTTTTACAATTATTTGAAAGAAATAAAAAAATTATGAGTTAAAAATAATGTTCAAGGCAATAGATCATCTGTGATTCCAAACTAAAATGAATAAATAATATAACAATATGATAAATACAATAATATAATACATTTTTGATTGAAATAATCCAGATTTTATCAATGGCCTAAGTAATAGCTATAATCTCTGCTCTAAAATCAAGCAGCCCTTGAATAAAGATCCCTTTCCCTTTGTTCTTTAGGGTGCTACAGATGTTTTTATGAAAAAAAAAAAAGGTTATGTTGTCTCAGTTTTCAAAGCATTTTGGGAAGTTTTTATGTCACTATGAACCTCATTTAGCTGTAAAGGGCAATTACTATTACTATTAATTATTTTACTGTTATGGAAAACATGTTGACAGTTCCTCATCTGGGGGAATGACGGCTTCCCCTCTGAAAGCCATCTTCAGTTATCTGTGCTTTCTTTTCAAATGTGTGTCTAATTTAGCTCCATCCGTCAGTGTCAGCTCAGTCATCTATTGATGAATTTGTAATTAACTTTTAAAAAAATGTGGGTCATTCTCTGAGATGCACATTATTGTGGAGTCATCTTTCAGTGTGAGAATCCCTTACTGTATAGCCCTTATCCTGCACCAGTTCCTTATGCTTTGCTAAGGGAAAGCTTCCCCTTTTCTTCTCCGCCAGACTCCATACAGTGTTGCTAGGCAGCCCCTGCTGTGTGTGTCTGCATGTGTGTTTGTGTCAGAGAGAACCAGAGGAAGCGCTGCACCTTCCTTATGACAGTCACGGCTCATGTGCGCAGCAGCAGCTGCTGCATTTAAAGTTGTAAAGCTGAAACTGAAAATGAAGATATTTGCATGCTTAAAGCAGTTTTCATACATTCAGTATGTGAGCAGCATATGGTGATTTTTCTGAGATGGCAGAAAATCATGTGAGGTCCGAAACCTAAACTTTTAATCCTCAGTGTCTGCATGGTGATTCCTCATGAAGGGGTTTTTCTTCACCACCCCCCCTCTGGTGCATGTTTCCATGGCAACAATGCAGACAGGGTCTTCGAGCCGCCCTGAGCGGAAATGTCTGTGTTCTCTGTAGGGCTGTTGTAAACGAATATTTTAGTAATCGAGTAATCTATCGATTATTCTTACGATTAATCAAGTAATCGGATAAAAAAAATTTATAAAATAAACTATTGGCAAATCTGCAATAACACCAGTTAGTCCAGATCAGTCCAATATCTCCTTTTTGAGCATCCCTAACAGTTAAATGTTTGTAGTTTAGAAAGTTTACTTGTAACAGTAGTTTGCTTTAACCTGATGAAAAGTTATAAGATATTAAATTATATTCAAATACTAAAGTGGCAGGCTCATAAATATGCTTATAAAAATGTCTAAATGTAAAGGTTTGAGTTTGTACAGAGTTCTGCAGCCTTAACTAGTCATGATAAAATGCAAAAATGTTGCTATTTTTATTAAAACGATGCTATTATTTATTCTTGATTGCTTAGGTATAAACAAATATAGAATTACTACAAAAAATATTAATCAAAAATTTTAATTCATACATAACAGTAGCGAGAAGAAAAGACTGTAACTTTTCAGGATGGAAAGACACCAATAAATAAATGCTTTTCAGCTTATGCCTGTAATCTGTTGCTGCGTATTTTTATTAACAAACTTACATTAAGTCCTGCATAATTTCTCTCAGTTCCACCCTCACATACAATTTACACTACACCCGGTTAAGTAACCGCTATGTTTAGATGTAACGTTAGCAAAATAATGTGCCTCAATTTACATCTATCACATGGCAGATTATCACACAACGTAGTTAGCAAAGAGAACATAAACGTTACCTGTTGGCAACCGTGTACGAGTTGGATGCATGTAGCGGGTGTTTTCTCTTCAGATGCTGCAACATTGATGTCGTGCTGTTGTGGTACGCCAATTCTGCTTTGCAGGGGATGCATTTCGCTGTGTTGTCCTTTCTGTTTAGCCTAAAATGTTCCCAAACTTTGGACATTTTTTGTCGCTTTCGGGGTTCTCCTTCTGAGCTTTCTCCGGTTCCCTCCATAGCTACAAACTTAGCACAAGCGCTCCAGGCGCTAACGGAAGTGGTAGCGTTGTGCAACACAGAAACCCTCCGGCTAGACCAGTGTGCTGCGTATTTAACAGCATTGCTTATTACAATAGAATAAATTTAGCGAAGCTTCGAGGCAGATAAATTTCCTCGAGGATTTTTTGTAATCGAGTTACTCGAGTTACTCGATGAATCGTTTCAGCCCTAGTTCTCTGAAGGAGTTTCCGTGCAGAAGCCTGTCACAGCTCTGTGATTTGTGTTACATATCCTCTGGGGTGTGGGGTTCCTGCAGACTCTACATGAAACATGTCCTCACTTAAGGACATGTCTCATGTTGAAGTAGCCCCTCAGGTGACAAATGTTGGAAGCTGAGATGCTGAGCCACTTGAAAATAGTTTCATTTGTGTGTCATCCATTTAGCTTTCGTTATATACGCTTTGCCAGTATGTTTGTTTATAATGCACTTTCTGACAATGCTGTTTATAAAAAATACTATAAGATTTAGCAAATTATGACATTAACATTATTAACAAAACTGCATTTCTCACGTACTACAAGTTACCTTTCATTTAAATACAGAAGATTTTTTTGTTGTTTTATCTTTTAGTGCAGTAATCCTCTTACAGACAAGTACTGCACCTCTCTGCTGCTGCAAACAGTTTTAACTGTCATCTTTGCTCAGATGGGTTTCCTCACAGTAAAAACAAGCCTGGTCTCTAGTCTCAGATCCTAGACTCCAGTCACCTCCTAGCCTCTTTCAATGAAGCTCTCCTAATCCTTTTATTTATCTTCTCTCTCAGCAATGGAGTTTCATGAAAACCTGCATGATCTGGCTGTGAAGGAAGGGTTAAAGGGCAGGAAGCTGCATAAGGCCGTGGAGAGCTTCACATGGAACATCACCATTTTGAAGGTGAGAATCTTTGACATCCTTAACATAACATTTAACCTAACACTTCTTTCATTTAGAAAAACTGTAATTATGTCAGATTCGTAAATGGAATAAGTTCCTCAATGCGTCATCTGCTGCAGATCAATTTTTGGTCTTTTATGGTGTTTTGGTCAAAAGGTGGGGCTAAAACAAGTTAAAATCCAAACAGCAGACTTCAAATAGAAACCTATATCTACCAGAAACAGCCTGTTGGTTGGCCAGTCTGGTTAGCTCCTTCTGACTTTGATTTCTTCACCTAATGTAGATTTTGTAGTGATGGAGAGATTGTGATGGTCCCGAAACCTGAACAACTTATTGGCCAGTTGCCTTCTTTTGTTAGAGGCAATAGAAACTGAAGGACATTTCTGACTTAATTTTTTGAATCGGCTGGAAAAATAATAAAGTTTCGGTTGTATACATTTTCAAAAACAGACACAAAAACAGGCACCGACATACAGTAGTTATTACCTAAACTATTACTTATAAAATGCGTGGTGTCATTTGGAAGGACCAATGGCGCCATATGCTGTTGTCTTCTTTTATCTTTGAGAGTAAATATTCCTAGACCTTAGCTGTGTTATTTTTCCTCATGAATGCCAGCCTATCCTAACTCCAGATGTTTTATGACAATATGTCACATATTTCAAAATGATAAAACTAAGCATCATTGCAGTTGCAGCTTTAGATTCCTGCTATCTGCTGACATCTACCTCCCTGATGTTGCAGCCTGAACGAACCGTGGACTTATGTGGAGAAAATGCTTTTCCTCCTGACTTTAATTTTAAACCCCTGACTGATTATAAAAAGAAACAACCTCAGGTCAGAAGAATCCTCCCTTCGTGAATAACGAGGCCTACCAGATTATTCTGGTTAGCATGACCTGGCAGTGCTTGTATAGCACAGTTTTTAGCTTATTGCAAGACGATGACCAGTGAGAGCAGAAAGAGGAAGAAATGAAACTCTTCTATGATGGATTCTTATCTCTGCAATAAAAGATTTTGGTTTTAAGGTTGTATTAATTAATACAATACCTTGCCTAATGATAATCTATACATATCACCTGTAATTTCCGACATTTAGTTTCAGATTTCTCAATTTCAGAGTCATTTGCATGATTTTTTGATGTGAAGGATTCTCCTCCTGTCTTGCTATAATCGCTCTGATCTGTACCCTCAGGGTCAAGCTGACTTATTAAAACATGCCAGAAGTGAAGTCCAAGAAAACCTTAAGCAGATCCACTACTCAGCGCTTACCTGTAATCTGAGCAAAGGAGGAGCAGTGGGCAGGTCCTCCGGCTCCTCAGACTCCAAGAGCCGGCGCAGCCTGGAGGCCATTCCTGAAAAGGCCACAGGGGAGGAGGAGCTTACAGACAAGGAAAACTGAAGACTGCGGCAGCAGCTGCTCTCCCTAGAATCCCTTCTAAACTGTTTTCTTTCTGAATCTCTAAGTCGTCAATCTCCAGCCTCCATCATGGACTTTTCTCAACCAAAAGCACAGTTTAAACTTCTTAGACAATTGAAGCAAATCAAGAGTGAAGGATCCGTCTCCTAAACATTTATTTACATTTTGTCAGATCAGGAGAACAGAAATAGATCATGTGACCTGTCAAAGTTCCTAATCGCAGCCAAATTGAACTGCTTTATGATGCTCCTGTTTCCCCTCCTGGATTGAAGCAGGACACCCGAATGGACCACCAGCCCCCGCCTCTTCCAGACTGACTTAATAGATGAGCACTTCTACTTAGTGGACCAGATGACAAAGAAGGCCTTGGATTATAGCAAGGATTTTTTTAAAGCACAATTTTTCCTGAGCTGTGAATGTAACGGAATAAGGAGTGGGAACAAAAAATGTTTAGAGTGAGAGTAAATAGCTGTTTACAATTCTGGACTTGTTTATGTTCTTGTCTGCCAAAACGGTAGTAAACTATGTGTATATACAGTTTCCTGTGACTTTTTTTCTGCAGAGTGCATCATTTTATTATTGTATACTTGGGGATATGAGATTTATTTTGTAAAAGTTTTATGGACACATCTGTGGAGAAACGGTTATATTTGTGTGGGATATGTCAAGAAGAGGGCTTTTCCTTAGAAAAACTTTGAACACGAGGAGACAGAATGATGCTAAAGACAGAGAGAGAATGTATCCATGTTGTTGTCCAGTCTTAGCGATCTGAACCAGCAGCTGCATGAAAGATGTTGTACTTTCTTTCTTTAGTTTCTCTTCTTTTTCAGGGCAAGTTTTACCAAAGTTATCTTTACCTTGAAGCTTAAAGTTCATTTTAAACCCCAAAAACCATTTAACTTATTTTAGATATGTGAACATAATAAATCAGTTGTTGCTGGTAGGAATCCACAGGCAGCTTTCAACACCTGCTGATCACCTTGATTTTGGATGCATTCACTGAAAAACAAAGGATTTCACTCTGAAGGAAACTATTTTATCTATTTGTTTTTGTTTTACTTTTTATTTAAAAATTTCGATTATTCACTCAAAAGAAATCCCCCCTTATGTTCTATATTTAGGGTAGTCACTATTAACTTAAAGTACCTAATCCATTATAGCTGCTGTCACGAGTAACATTTTTTGTGACAGACTAGCCCTTTTCCTGGGATATAAATCTTTTTCTGAAAGGATGGCCAAATATATTACTAAATAGCTTTGATTGCAAAATATTTAAATTAAATTTTTCGTTTGTTGTTTACTCATAACCTAGAATCTGTGTAACTTCATCTTCTCATTCTTTAACAGGACCGCTGTCGATTTGTTCCTCAAAACTTAAATCGGTTGCTATGTTTACCTTTTTCACTGTAGCAGCTAAAACGTCCTGCAGACAACGTGCCCCATTTGATTTCTTTCAGATGAACATGTCTAACAATGCCCTTTCTTCAATCATTTATTTTACTTAATATGTAAGGTGAAAAATACCTATGCCATATGTGGATTTAAATGCAAACATATTAGCAGTAATGTTAATAACTTATTAGGATTTAACGTTGAGTTTGAACACAGTAGAACACAACAAAATGTGTCTAACGGAAGGGCTGGCTGAACAAATATCCTGAACTATCCCTCAGAGGTGTTGATTGATTTTGATTTTCGGAAATATAAAAAAACTAACATGTTTGCCAAGACACATTAGAATAATTTCAATTATTGTCCACATGGCTTTACTTATTGTTTGTGTTTGGATTATTATCTAAAGCCTTATTAAAGATATATATTTGATAGTAAACTCAAAATGTGAAATAAATGTGTTGCTGGTAGCAGTCATGATTGCAACTGAACAGTAATTTATGAAATTGCACACTGACAACTAAAACTCATCTAAAAAAAAAAATCTCAGTTCCCTTCAGCATTTCAAACAACACTGTCTATGACAAGTGTGAGCAGGACCTTAAATAGCTTATTAATGTGCAAGTTTTCCATTGAGCACAATTAACAGTAAGAGGCTAACAGACATTGCATGTAATTGTTTCTACTATTATTAGTTTAATCACTGATTAGAGTTGTGTCGCTTATTCATTTCTCACTTTCTGTATCAGTCTCCCTTTTTATTCATGAGCCAGCTTTGTTTTATACACGATAAGGGTGCAAATGTTTTGTAGCTATTGTAAAGGACTCCACAGAAGTTAACAAAAACAAACGTATTTGAACTTAAATGTTCAATTATCTGAATGCATGTTTAGTCCAGTATTTCCTGTTGAGTTGGGAAATAACCAGAAATTATTTTAGCTCTTCTGGCATATAATAAATCTAACAATGTTTGGAATTTGTTCTCAAAATATTAACAATATCATGGCTGCACTTGTGAATTAGGACATCCCTTGTCAGTTTTTATTAATGTCTAAATAACTTAAGTGATGTAAACCTACCTAATAATGAACTTTTGTATGTTTTCATTGGAAAATGTTTGAAAAAAATAAAGAATAATATGAGTCATTTACATGTCCATCAGGATAGAAAGCCATGTTTACCTTAGGAAAACATCTAGAGTCATTTTTATAGCCATTACTCTGTGAACAATAGGGTACAAAAAAAGTTTGCTCAGGTCAACGCCGTTATTAAAATGACCCATTGTGTAGAAAAACTCTCCCTGTTCTTCCATTTATTAGTTAAACTGTCTTTAGATGTTTTAAATTTAAAGCGCAAACGCAAAAAGTCGCAGTTGATACTCTAATGCTAATTTAAACCCGTCATACTCTCATTATGCATCACAACATGCATATGGCAGGTATAGAAAATATAATCAAGAAATGTAACTGACCATTTAGTCCAACTGCAAAGACATTTGGTTTCTGCTTCAAGTAGCTGCAAGCCTCTTCTCTCTGAGAATCTCTTGCTGATTTTCAGTTTGTGATTCTGAGATCTTCAAAACGTACATCCTACCTACAGTAAACAGCAGTCAAAGACAAAATAACTACTCCACTTTGTCTGCTTAAAGCTAGTAACAGTAGACTGTCTAAAACAATCCACAATGTTGTATCTCTGCCTTGATATTTTCTGACTCCCATCAGGATTTGATCTTCCTTTACAGATCTCCATTGAGGGACTGAAAGATTAAATACTTAGAACATGATTAGAGTACAAAATAAAAGTTTTGGTTTAACTTTTTATTTTGCCGCAAATAAAAAAACTCATGATGGATAAAAATCATTAAAACAGCCAGGAATGTTTCCAAAAGTGTCGTACTGCATGGAAATCTGCAAAAAGGGTCTGATTATGACAAACTGAGCAGGTTTATAATCTCACAATCCAGTGTGTCAATACTAGATGGAAAATATGCATTGCTCTTAAGCGTAGGACTCTTTTATTCTCAATAGGTTCCTTTATGTTCTTAACTTCCCACACTCTGTGTAACAGCACCATATTACCATGATAATCCCACCATTAAGACCTATAGAATCAATAATCTTTACCGTCATTATGAAACCATAATACATATATAGAGCAATTCTGATAAGATCACACCATCCTAGTCACCGCAGCTACAGCAACAGAGCAGTGATACAGTGCAGCTTTTAAAAGAAAAACCTCAACTTTTAATACCTGAAACCTCATGTTAAATTTTATCCTTCATTTTATATTAAAGCAACCTGGATGTCATGCCCAAGAACACCTCACCGACCTCGTCACAGTTTTTCTGTATAAAGCATATATTAGCTTTTGTTTTAGTAGTTAATCTTTCCATCTTATTTAAACTAGGTATAAAGAAATTGATTGGTTTTTTTGTTTGTTTTGTTTTGAACATTTTCTTTAGTTTTTGATTTTGGGTGTTTGTTTTTCCTGCATAAGTGAATATAAGGCTGAACCAGCAGCAAATCCAATCCAGTTTATTTGCTTTTAAACGGAAACTCCCAAAGTTACACGTTTTATCATGAAATCAAATTTGTGTTTTATTTTTACCACATTTCCGTAAATAAAGCATTATATCACTTATTTTACCTGGTAAACATTAGCATTCTTTTTTGTCATTCCATTTTGCAGCATCTATTTTTGTTTCTGTCTGTTATATTTAAATATCGTCATTTGAATAACTCACAGAGGTGATTTCGAAGTAATGTATGATAAATATAACTGAAGATGAGGCTAAAATGAATGTTTACTAAATAATTTTCCAGAGATAAAAGTTAAATACACTCCAAATTTAGTGTTTTTTTGTTTTTTTTATTACACATTAATTCCAAAAATGCTACTTCTACCTTAACTAAACCATCTTTAAGAAAAAGTAAGACAAATAGGAAATTCAAAGCCCATCAGTTTATTTCTGTGGTTTTAACATGTTAGAGTAAGTAAAGCAAATCTACCAGCAACAGTAAAAGTAAAAGTCCTAAAGTAAAGCTCGTGATCTTTTGCAGCCCTGAATGTTGTGTTTGCTTTTGGAGTAGCTTTGTTGTCCCTAGTTTCCGTTTCTAAGTTGTACTTCCTGTTTCCAAATGTTTTCCACACTTCCTGGTGTTTTCGGCGAGCCGTCTCTGAACATCAGTGCTGTGCCAGTGTTCGTCATAATAACTGTTAATAAAAACAATTCAACTGTATCTCAAGACTAACCTGTCAAATTTTAATCAAGGACCTCTGAATAAACAGTGTTGGATGATCATATCTGATGGTTTCATTACAGTTACAAGGAAATAACAGTTTAAGTCACTTTTTAACTCAGATCTTTACTGTAGAAATCATTTTAGCCTCCAGTCTTAACTCAGTATTGCTTCTAATCACAATATCATACGTTCCCATTAATGTAGATGATTAATTTATCCTATTCACCATATTCAGATATAGGTTCCACAGGGTGGAATCACATTTCCATTCCCATACTGACTCTTCTTTGTAATATTTGACTTTAATCTTGTCTTGTTTATTTAGAACAAAAGCAGATTTATAAGACAAAGTGTGCCTTAAATTTCTCTCTGGATTGGCAAAGCTTGTTACTTAGGTTCTAAATCTCTGATCGCATTGATTAGCACATTTTTTAAATCATCCTTTGAAATCTAAACTTTACCTTAACAGCCCTCCTTCTATAAGACTTTTCATCCTTCTCCAGAACATCTTACTGGCAAAAATGGATGGCAGATTTTCCTAGACCCAGTCTATTTTTAAAATTCTATGGCAGTGCACTATTAAACATACATCATCCTCATTTCATCTTCACAACCTGCACTGTTCTGGAGGACCACTTTAAAGCATCTTTTGAGAAAAAGGTAAGAAAAGAAAAGCTGGGAAGGAATTACTATTTTTGTAAAATTTCTGAGACACCAAACAAAACGGCATGTAGTTAACGTGGAGTTTTTATAAACCTTGCTCTTTAGGTTGAATTTACTGAAATTGCCAAACACATAAAAATATATATCCAGAAAGGATGTTTTTTTTTTCCTCCCTAACATACCATTATTTCAATTAGAGTTTAGCTTTCTACAGTGCAGCTATTTGGTGGCATGTCTGGG